GGCTTACAAACTCCTTTCCCTTCCCCTCCCCACAACAGACACCCTGTGAGGTGGGTGGGGCTGAGAGAACTCTGACACAAACTGCTCTTTTTCAAGGACAGCTGTGCCAGAGCTTGTGACTGACCCAAGGTCACATCAGCAGGTGCAAGTGGAGGAGTGGGGAATCAAACCTGGTTCTCCCAGATTAGAGTCCGCACACTTAACCACTACACCAAACTGGCTCCGACAGCTCCGACAGGAGCTCAGATCTTCATGCATGCGCATAACATTCTGCTGCCCAGTGGCTGTTAGGAAACCCTTGGCTAGAAACAGGAACCTCTTGCTCTGTACTCTATTATCCTAAGGCACCAGAGAGCATGGGTGAGGAAGTTCTCTGGGCTTCAGTATCCTCTCAGGCTCCAGAGTGACCCCATGAACTCAAGTGACCCATTGGCTCCCCATGACCTAACAGAGATTTCAAATATTTTAGTTCAGGCTTGGTCCCTGCCTGGGCAGCTGTCAGTCTTGGCTGCCTCTTCCCACTAATAATGACTCTTGTTCCTGTATTGTGGTCCACAATTAACTACTCCAGCGCTTTCAGCTTTTCAGACAGTGGCATCGTGTTACTCAATGAACTGCACAGTCATCTGTTCTAGCTTGCAGCCCCTTGTATTTCCTAGTTCTCATGTTCTGTGTGTGACAACGGCCTTCTACAACAGGAGTCTTTTCAGACATGGGGCTGTATCTATAATGTGCAGTGTTTGATTTGCTTACAGTTTGTCTTTCTCCTCCTCTGTCTATGGAAGTTGTTCTTAAATGTGAGCTGTGACCTGGAAGGTCCTGCCGCTTCCTCACACTTTTTTGGGGGGTGGGTCATAAGGTTTAAACTCCCAAGCCAGTAAAGGAGACCCTGTCATCCCCCTCACTAGTAGTAAAAAGGGGGTGAAGTTGCCACAGTCTCTTCTCCCCCTCTTCTTTGCCCCCATTCATTCCCAGGAGCTTGACTCTGCTACCAGCGGTGCAGGAGGCAATGGGCATGGTTTGAAAACCAAAGCTCCAAGGTCACCAGAGGCCTGGGCTAAGTTACGCGGGAAAAGGATATTTTGGCAGGCACAGCTTTTCATCCAGAGGCAAGGGAAGCTGCACTTTCTACTTTCCCATTCATCATGGAGCTGATGTAAAGTCATCGTGTCCTGTGGCTTGCACAACAGAAACAGGACAGGGGGGGGGGGATTCTGAACATCCAATGAGGTTTTCATCTCTAATTCAAATCAAAGATTTGCTGGAAAGGCAGTGATCTTACAAAGTACTTAAAACCTTTTGCACAATACAAAGCTCTTGGCAAATCATACCTTGAGATCCCTTTTCTCCTATTTCTCCTTTTGTTCCTGGTTCACCTTTTGGTCCAGTAAGCACAAGATGACTTGCATTTCCATTTTCACCTGGAATAAAGGTAAAGGTAAAGGTTCCCTTGCTCGAAAGCCAGTCGAGTCCGACTCTAGGGTTGCGGGTTTCAAAGCCGAAGAGCCAGCGCTGTCCGAAGACGTTTCCGTGGTCATGTGGCCGGCATCACTAAACACCAAGGCGCACGGAACACTGTTACCTTCCCACCGAAGTGGTACCTATTTATCTACTTGCAATCTCTTGCTTTCGAACTGCTAGGTTGGCAGGATCACCTGGAATACATGGATGAAAAACTGTGCATTTACTGCACACCATGGTTGCCATCCTGATATCATAGGGTATTCTGATTGACTTCTTTTGGAGCTAGTCGGATAGGTGGCATGAAAACTGTGGACTTGAGAAGGCTCTGGCCAAGTACATCTCTCCTTATATATAATTGAATAGTGGGTGCCAAAGTTCTAATTCTAAAATGCACTCCCTTAGTGTATGGCTGATGGCACTGCTCCTCAGCATATATCGCCACCAATCAGAAGGCAAAGCCCGGGTCCCGCCCACACCACAACTGCTGCGACAACCTGGTCTTTTGCATATGGAAGCTGATTGGACTTCACTCCATTCCACACCTCAAACTCCCCCCCCCGCAAGGCAGTTGGAATGTCAGTTGCATATGGAATCTGCTGTATTCTGGTGGTGTGCAGGTCCCAGATTCATGTTTTAAAAGCAGACTGACACTGTTTGCCCAAAGCCAAAGCACTCTCCCAGAGCCTCTTTCTAGATCCCGTTGTATTTATTTCCACAACGGGCCTTATTTCTAGTTCTATAATGATTACAGTTGCCATAGGACATCCTGTGCTGATTCTTCCTCACATTTGCACTTTTGGATTGGGGGAACAGGCTTGCTTGAGACAAATCCACAGACCATCTACTAAACCTTCTCCTTTGTTTGTGTATAACTCCTTTCAACAACAAAGGGTAGAAACTGCTTTGGGGGGTTAGAAAGGTGATAGATAAATATGGCAAGTAAGGAAGCAAATCTCAGTATGCCTAGGGCCTCCATCTTTGGGTTGGGAAATTCCTGGAGTTTTGAGGATGGAGCCCGGGAAGGGTGGAGTTTGGGAAGGGGCCCCAGTTGGGTATGATGCTGCACGGTCCACCCTCCAAAATTGCCAGTGTCTCTCTGGGGGAAATGATCTCTGTAGCTTGGGGGTCAGTTGTAATTGCAGGAGATGTTCAGGTCCCACCTGGAGGTTGGCAAACCTAATGCACAGACAGACACACCTCCCTCCAGGACCAGCTGTGGATTTTCTACTGCAGGGTAAGCTCCATTTCACAATGACTTCACTCCGGTGTTGAACCTGTATCTGGCCCAAATCCAGGCTTTCCTTCCATGTTTTGAGAGATCTTTTTATTTGGTAAACATGTACCCACCTGACATGTATATCTAGTTCAATGTCTATATGGCACATTTTAAAAGGCATCTGGCTGGCCATTGTTGAAAATGTGTATGTATACACAAGAATCAGAGATACGTGGATATCTGTGCATTTGTTATGTGGGGACAAACTTTAAGACACAGTGCCTCTGAATGCCAGTCACTGTAGGGAGGCAAAAATAAAGGAAAGCTTGTAGGCTTTCTGGGGGCATCTGGTTAGTCACTATGCCAAACACGATGCTGGACTAGATGGACCAATGGTCTGACTCAGACCTATTATGGTCTTACATTCACAAAAGGAAGCAGATTTCTTCAAGGAACACAAATTCAGGTACCAAATGGACTGGTGTAAATCAGGGTTATTGCCATGCTGCAATTACTCTGAAATTGTGGAAGGGCAACATAAAAAAGCATATTCATGGATATTTACTTAATTTAATTATTTCATTTATTTAAGCCATTTCCACCCTTTATTGTTGAAAGGAGTTACATACTTCATTGATATAATATAGGTCCCAGTCACACGCGTGAGATAATGCGCGGGGGAAGCGAGGCTATTTACCCCAGAGGAAATTGACCCACAGTTGCGTGATCACACAGTTCTTTGAAGCTGCGGGCATAGCCCGCCACTGCGTGATCAAACTCAATTGTGGGTGAGTCGGGGGGTTTTTTTTGTGCAGTTTGGTTTCGATTTGCTTAAACGGAGGAGCAATGAATCACATCTCCACACTGAGGGCTTCCTACAGCAGTATGCAATGATGCACATACTGGGAAAGGGAAAAAAAACAACGGCACGCAGTCGGGATAGCCCGATCAGAACATCCTGACGCCATTAGAGCGACACAGGGGAAAGTCCATCTGTGGGCCGTAGCAACTCATTTGATACTGGACTTTCCCCGGTATTTTTTAACTCTGCTTCTTCAGCGGAGCTAGACGGCTTGCCGACGAGTGTGGGATGCTTGCCAGATGTTCCCGTGTGATCGTGTCCTAAAAATCCTTCCGGCATTCGTGCCTATCGCGCGGCTACTTCTGCGTGTGATAAGGACCATAATTAATTTATGCCCTTCCTTTTTCCCCAATGGAGACCCATCATAACAACTGTGTGAGATAGGTTAGGCTGAGAGAGTGCAGCTGGCCCAAGGTCACTCAGTGAGCTGCCGTGGCAAGCACGGGGATTCAAACCCAGGTCAGATACAAGTCCAGGTGCAAGTCCAGATACAAATTAACCACTACACCTTACTGGCTCTCTATTTAAATGTGTAGCATGCTAGTGGTAAGTAGTGTGATGCTTAGCCAGTGAAGGGAAAGTGCATTACTCAACAGACCTTGGTCTCCTTTGGTTCCCTTGGTTCCTGCTGTTCCTAAAATGAAAGCACAGGAACACTGTTAACAAAAAGATATGACAAGGGAGGTGGAACATCCCGTGCCTTTTAGCTTCCGTTACTGCATTTTATTTATCTGAAACATTCCAGCTTTGCTGCTTTTTATGAATATCTATAAAGAAGCTTTTAAAAAGTAAACATCAGTGCAGCAATAAAGACATCGAAAGCCAATTCAAATAACACCACCAATGGGATAAAAGATCAGCGGGAAGGAAATTCAACCAGCGGCAGAGTACTAGCACAGATAAAGTCTAGGAATATGACAGGACTTAAATGTAATAATAAAATGTAAAGAAAATGGCAAGTTTAGAATAGCAACCAGTTAAATTATAAAATAGACATTTCACCCTTTTCTCCCTTGACACCCGGAGGTCCTCTCATTCCTGGAATTCCTAAAATGTAAATACAAACAATAAGATTCTACTTCTGTGCACAACTACCTCTGATGAAAGGCCAGTGGACTGAGAGAGCAATCCTGAACAGGTCTTCTCTGAATCCTGCTCCCAAAAAAGTGTTCTTTGGTCCATTTCTAAGCAGAGTTGTTCCCTTCAAAGTCCACTGAGTTCAAAGGACTTAGAAGAGTGTAACTTTGCTTAGGATCACATTGTCATTTACAGTGGAACAATGAGTAAATATACGTAGGATTGGACTGCATATGTTCCTATACAAGAACACTTGCTGGAGATCAGTAAAGAGGTGCAGACACATAAAGAAATATCTAGAATCCTGCAAGGAAATGTGTTCAGGATGGAGAAGCTGCAGTGGAGAAGAGGTGGGCCAGGGAAGTATCTGTTAACTGAGAAGAGCAGTTCCATAAATCAACTAAAAATTCAGAGTGAGGGGTGCATGGAAGATTTCCTTGTTTATTTTCACTTTAATAAGGCTACCATAATCCCTATTGATTGCTCCTTTTATTTAAAAGTAATGCATACCACATATAGGATGAGGGTCACAAGGCAGCTACATCTACCACAAAGACACAGACACATCAGTGACTTTAGGAAATTCCTGCTAGAGACTCAGCATAAATCAGGGGTGTCAAAAATGCGGCCCAGGGGCCGGATCAGGCCCCTGGAGGGCTTTCATCAGGCCCACAGTGGAACTGGCCATCTCCTGCTTCCAGTTCTGCTGCTGCTGCTGCTGCTGCTGCTGCTGCTGCATCATAGCTTGCTTCACCAGACTCTCTTAATCACTCAGCCATTTCATGTTTTAATCTGGGTCCTAGACTCAGAACTCTGAGCTTGAAATTTCTGTGGTGAATGTCAATAAATCAAAAGTAGGTTTGCAGTATACAGAGCTAATGTTTAAGCATGTTTTTATTTTAAGTTAAAAAACATATTCGTGTTTGTGTCCTTTATAAAGTTTATATCTCCACTACCTGGCATTACATTTTATGACACACATGGCCCGGCCCAACAAGGTCTCGTTTATGTCAGATCCGGCCCCCATAACAAATGAGTTCGACACCCCTGGCATAAATAATACATAATGCTTGGCATGCTGTAGCTCACATTCTCTATCCAATTTCAGTAAAATTATTGGGGATTTTCTAAGTGGGCAGATCTATAATGTCAGAGAAACAAATTACCATTGTCGCCTTTTGGTCCTGGATGTCCAACACCTGAAATACCAAATGCATTTGTTTTAAAAATCAGCTGAGTTCTGTTCAAAACAATTCAACACTCTCTCTGTGTCTTGCTTACCCTTTGGTCCTGGATCCCCTTTGCTTCCTTTTAGACTGGGCTCTCCTTTTTCACCTTTGTCTCCTGAAAAAATGGCCAGAAATGTATTTGGCTGTTTAGAAGGTACAATTATTGTCAAGGTTGTAGCTCTGTCCTTAATTTGACTTGAGAAATTAACGTTAGCCATTTTTGTGGATTTTATTCAACCTTATTGGTCTTCTGACCTAGCCATGTTATCAGCTGCATATTGTCATCACCCTGAATTTGATATAGTTATCAGTTTTTCACGGTTTGGGGTATGGCTCCCAATATATTTCTGTATCTTTTAATGAACAGCCAACATGAATGAAAACTAACCTTTTTTGCCTTGGTCACCTTTTATTCCTGGAACTCCTCTTTCTCCTTTGGCACCTAAACATGGAAAAAATAAACACTCAGTGATGATTTAATTTTACTGAGTGTTGAAAGGCAGAAAATGAAAACAGAGTGGCCTCTCTAAATCCTGGTTTGCCTGGTTGTACCTTTAGAAGCTCAGACACAGCCTGAGTTCTAACCTATAGTTAGTGTAAGCCAATGATATCCAAACAGAGCTTTGGAATCAATTCACATTCAAGATTGTTTCCCTTCTAAATTATAGCATGAAAGACGGCACTGCCTATGTATCCTTTTTTTAAAACCACATATAACCTGAGAACCACATATAACCAATCATATACTATGTCAAGTGAAGGCCCCTATGTGAGGTTAGATTCCGTATTTTTGCCTCCACAGCTATGTTTGTACCTTATATTTTAGTGGAATTATTACTCTTTCTTCAACGATATTTGAAATGACCCGTGTAAACTCTGCCTGTCTTGATTGACAGATATTTTCTGTCAGATCTTGAATTAAGAATAATATCTCTGAATCGGAGACCCAAAGCAGTGACATCATAATCCCCTCTTCCATTTTATCCTCACAACCTGGTGAGGAAGGATAGACCGCAAGACAGTGACTGGCCCCTCATCACCTAGCGAGCTTCCGTGGTAGAGTGGAGATCCCAACCTGAGTCTCCCAATCCAGCCACTACAACATGCTAGATCCAATGGTAGAGCAGCTAAATTAACCAATCCAACTGTGTTGCTCTTAAAGGAATTAGGGTCAGCGCAATGCAAGAAAAGATGAAAGGAGTGGAATATATACCCACCTGGAGGTCCTGGAATACCTTTGCCTTCAAATTGTTCTAAAACAGATAATGATATCAGTTGAAAATGCTCAGAACTTTAAAAAAACCCACCAATGGTAAAACAAATCTGCAGTACAAACAAAGCCTTAGTCTTCTGCAAAAATGCTTAGTTTTTCTCCAAGGAGAATAAACCCTGTGCTGAATTCCAATAACATATGTAGCTCACCATATGTACCTATGCAGCACCTTCATTTAGACCAGCAAGGTCTCCTGGCTGTCGTTACCTCTGTTTGGGTGGTGGTTCCATCTTCCTCTGCTTGGTCTCAGACTTTTTCGCTGGCTGCCTCATCCCTGAGGAACAATCTGCCTGATGTTGCCAAACACCCCCTCCCCTCTTTCTGGCTTTCAGAAGCCACTGTGAAGCAAAGCTTTTTAAGGCAGCTTTCTGATGGCTCTTGAAAGTTTTCATGATTTTAACGTTTGGCTGCCAATTTGCTTGATGTATTAGTGGGTTTATTTTTGCTGCTATGATTTGATTTGGTCTTAGCTTCTTATAGTAAAGGTAAAGGTTCCCTTGCTCGAAAGCCAGTCGAATCCGACTCTAGGGGTGCTCATCTCCGTTTCAAAGCCAAAGAGCTGTCCGAAGACGTTTTTTTCGGGGTCATGTGGCCGGCATGACTAAACACCAAGGCGCACGGAATGCTGTTACCTTCCCACCGAAGTGGTCCCTATTTATCTACTTGCAATTTCTTGCTTTCAAACTGCTAGGTTGGCAGGAGCTGGAACTAGAGACGGGAACTCACTCCGTCATGCGGCACCCGGGTCTCAAACTGCTGAACTACCGACCTTCCACAGCCTGCAGTTCAGCATCTTAACCACTTGAGCTACCGCAGCTCCCCAACTTATAACTTCTTATAAGTTGCCTTAAATCCCTATTGTAAGAAATGTGGGATAGAAGATTTTTAAATTAAAAAAGAAGCTGCTTCGCTAGAGCCGAAGCTTGAAGATGCCCTGCTGTTGGTAAACACGGCTAAACCTGAGCAATGGAGAGCAGAGACAAGGGATTTTGCCCAACAGACTCAGGACAGAAGCAGGATGGACTCATTATAATTAATGGACAAGAGATCATTATCACACTACGATGCTAGAGCCCTCAGTGTACACTTTAAACCTATAGTGGTGCTGGAGAGCCCAGGTTAACCGAATCTCATCAGATCATGGAATCTAAGCAGGGTCAGCCCTGGATAATGGTTGGATGGGAGACTCCCCCCAAAGAGGTCCAGGGTTACTACACAGACACAGGCAATGGCAAACCACCTCTGTTTGACTCTTGCTTTGACAGAAACAGGATCACTCCTCTGGGGGTGCATACTCCGCCTCTCTATTTTTTCTAAGTAGGTTTGAAGGGTTTAGTATTTGAGACAGGCGACAGTGGGACAAACGGCAGTTCGGTAGGTGCATGCTTAAGCCTGTGCATTTACCTTGCAACCAAAAGCCATCATCTCCCTTTTCTAGAGGCTAACAAATGAGTAATATGCAGTATGCTGATCAAAGGATACATCCTGTTGAGGCAGATGACTGGGCCTCTACGGCATGTCTGCACAATTCTTTTGGCCTTCTGTGGCCAAGGATATGCAGTACTTAAGCTGAACCCGTGAGATGTGTCAAAGGACTTCCAGGTGCCCAGCCCCCATGCTCCGCTCTCCCCCTTACCAATTATCCAGGTCCCCTTCAACCGGATCACAAGGGACTTTGTGGGTCCACTACCCTGAATACCCCAAGGTGCCCTGTACCTGTTGGTACTGATGGACTACACCACCCAGTACCTCAAGGCTATCCCTCTGTGGAACATGAAGAGTGCTGTCATAGGCCAGATGTTGATGGGCTTGCCCTCTGAGATCCTGACAGACTGGGGGACCCTGCTTTACAGAAACCTGATGTAGCAGACATGCCGTCTCCTCCAGATCTGTCAGATATTTACATCTGTGCATCACCCTCAAATGGATGACCTTGTTGAGTGACTCAACCAGATGATGGCCATGCTCTGCAGGCTGGCACATGACTGACCAAATGCCTGGGACCTTGACGTAGACCTTCTGATATTTACCCTCTGCGAGACCCCCTTTGAGCTTCTTTCTGAATGGGTCCCATAGGGAATCCTTGGCCTGGTGGGTGAGAAGTGGGTAACCGAGCCCACCACTGCCAGGTCACCCCCAGGACAGAATATGCAGCAGTTGAGGGAATAGCTTGAGCAGGCCCAAGATGAAACCCATTGGAACCTTGAGAAAGCATGAGTACAAAAACAGCGCTATGACTGGGGCACACAAGAATGGGCATTTTGTGCAGGAGATGAGGTACTGGTGGACTGGGGAACCATGGCAAGGCCCCTTTTCTGTCATCTTGGAACTTCTCATGTACAAAGTCCCACCCAGTGGCAGAGGAAATAGCTCCACGTCTATGACCTCAAGGAATGGTGAGCAAATCAGAAGATCAACCCCTTTCTCCTTGCTGTGATCCCTGGAGAGCTACCAGATGGGGGATGACCTGGGGAGGAGCATCATGGGATATGTCAAGACTGGACCTTGATCCAGAGCTAACAGCTACCCAGTGGAAAGACATCCAGCAATTCCTAGATCAGGTCCTGGGGGTCTTCTCCAACCAACTGGGGTGGATCACCCTGGCATCACACCACATTGTCACACCCCTGAGGACAGTAGTCTGGGCCCCATGGTGGCCCATCCCACAGAAGCAGTGGAGAGCAGTAGAGTGGGAAGTAAGCAATATGCTGTGTATGGGGGTAGCTGAGCCTTCACAGAGTGCATGGAGGATCCCATCGTCTTAGTACCTAAACTGGACCGCAGCCTACACTTCTATGTAGACTGCCAGGAGGTCAATAAGGTAACCAAATTCGATGCCTACCCTATGCCACAGGTCAATCTCCTGAAAGACTGGCTAGGGACAGTGCAATACCTCTCTGCACTGGACCTCACTAAGGGCTATTGGCAGGTCCAATGCACCTAGCCGACAAAGACAAGATGGCTTTCACCACACTGCAAGGCTTATTCCACTTCTGCGTAATGCCCTTCAGGCTTTGTGGGGCCATGGCCATGCCTCACATCCTGTGCCTGCTTCACCATGGCCTATACTGACCATATTATTGTGTACAGCCCTAACTGGCCCACACATGTCCATCATCTCCACCAAGTTCTGCAGGCCTTAGCCAGCACATGGTTAAGGGCCAACTCCAAGAAAATCCATATCGGCTTCCAAGAACTTTGGTACCTGGGCTTTCTGGTGGACTGAGGCCAGCTGCAACCTATCCCAGACAAAGCGACAACCTTGAAGCAAAGCCCCCATCCAGCAAAAAAAATGTCAGATGCAACGTTTTCTTGGGCTGGTGGGGTACTACAGCAAGTTCGTGCCCCAGTTTGCCACCTTGGTCTGTCCCCTAATAGAAAGCCTGAGGAAGGACAAGCTCAACATGATCTGATGAGACCCCCCCCCCATGCAAGGTGCCTTTTATGCCTTCAGAACCAGTCTGTCCTGCAGTCCCATACTCTGAAACCTGGACTTTGACTGCCCCTTAATACTTTAAATTGATGCCTTAGGCAGAGGGCTGGAGGCAGTCCTGTCACAGGACATAGATGGGCAGGAACACCCTACCCAGTTCATTAGCTGTAAGCTGCAAGCAGCAGAACAGAGATACGCATGGTAGAAAAGGAAGCGGCCTTCAAGAGGGCAGTAGGGGCATGCCAGTACTATCTGGGAAATAACCTCTTCATGCTAGTGGTGGACCATGTAGGCCCCAGAGGCCCGTTCTCCACCGCCAGCAGATTGGGCCCCGGGGGGAACCCCACCTCGACGTGCATGTCACCAGGAAGTGACGCGACGCCGCCGGGCACGCTGGCCACGGTCATCCGAGGGAAAACTCTATGGTACCCAGCGTCGTCACATCACTTCCGGGTGACGTGCATGCGCACTCCAATCGCCAGCCGGGAGTCCCCCGCTGCAGCTCAAAAACCACTTGGCAACCCTAGGACCATGCCCCCAGCTAAGGATGGCCCACATGGAAGAGCATAACCCCCATATCCTTAGGTGGTATCTCTCTTTGCTTCCTTTTAGTTTCGTGACCAAACTTTGACTGGACAGAATCACCTCAACACAGACTACATGTCCAGGGTCTTCAAGGGTACCACTCCAGCTGACCGGCCACAGGGTGTATGTATCTGGACCTGGCACAGGCATGCCTGGACTCAGCAGGGCCACTGGAGGAGGAGATCCCACCCAATCACCTGGCTCCAATAGTGGGGGCTACCCCCCACCCAGGACAGCCATGATGCCCAACAGAAGACCCACCAGGCCAACTTACCCCAACCACAGGGGGACAAGGTGGTGAAGCAGAGGACAGGATGAAAGGAGCTGCCAAAGGCCAGCTGGAGCCAGTAGAGGATTGGAGCAGCAGTGGCGCACAGCCCACAAGTGCCAGAGGCTGGTGGAAGCCGCCAGAAGCCAGGGGAGGTGGCAGCACACAGCCCAGAAGCTCTGGAGGCCAGCAGGTGCTAGTGGAGGCTGGGAGAGGTGGCAGCACAGGGCTGGGCCATGCAGGCCACCGATGGGAACCAGAGGCAGCTGCAGGAGGTGGCAGCACTCAGCCTGACAACCTGAGAGGCCAGCGAGAGGTGGCAGAAGTTGGGAGGCAGGACAGAAAGCTCAGAGGCACAGGGGGCCCCACCCAATCCATTCCACCCGGGATGGGCATGGCCCACACCAAGGGCTGGGATAGCCCAGGGTGGGACCATCCACCTCAGGCAGACAGGGCCAGGTCAATGGGCCAGGCCCAGCCATGACAAGCAGGGCCCAGCTTCCCTGGAGGGGAAGGGGGGATGAAGACATGGTGCGATGCAGGAGGTATAAAGGAAACTTGGGCAGTCAGGTTGGGGAGGAGAGCAACAGCTAAGTGCCTGAGCTTTGGCAGAGGTCACTCTGGCTGGAAAGAGGAGGACTGAGGTGAACTTAACCCCCTCCCCTCCATTTCTGAGGCATGATGAGCATCCCACCAAAGTCCAAGACGGCAGATGGCAGTTTTCCCCAGATCAAACAGGTGGGGCATGATAGTCATTAATGAATTCTTATCCTCATACATTCTCTCACACCTACTGACTCCTTTCACTTAAAGGCTCAGATTATAGAATGCATTCATAACTTGTACAATAAAACTGAAGGGCTAATTGCCAGCCAGCAGAGAAGCTATTATGATGGACTTGATAATTTCTGATGCTTCTTGGTCTTACCTTTGTATTGTATGTATATGTACTGAATTTTTATCTTTATCCCCCTCTTTGAAACAGAGAAATAATTCCTGTTCTTTGTGTAATCCACGTCATGTGTGTAACATGGGACAGGAAAGCTATGAAGCTGTCTATTCAAATATTCAAAACGGTGTTTTGTCAAGCCCTGCTAAGCAAGGCATCACATGTTAATCTAAGGGGTTTGCATTATCTTCTCCATGTACTCCATCTTGTCTAGACACCCAGATTTCCCACGACAGGGGAAAATTTGAGGGGAAAGGGTATCAGTGTTGATGGAAGGTTGGATTAGAAATAGGAAAGAGGTATTGATTTCTGCACTAACAATTCTGTATGGTACTTTTCGACTATAAGTCTCATGCCGGTATTTAGCCTTAGATGGAGTTTACCACCCACTTTGGGCTGCATTCCCAAGCAACCCGACTCCAAGAAGACCCAGTCCTGGAGTGCCAGGGGCTGCTACCAGCCTCACACCGTCTGCAGGCTCTTGGACTCTCTCTTCAAAGTTCTTCTCAACTTTCCCTTATGGTACTTGTTGACTATCAGTCTTGTGCTGGTATTTAGCCTTAGTTGGAGTTTACCACCCACTTTGGGCTACATTCCCAAGCATCCCGACTCCGAGAAGACCCGGTCCCGGTGTACCAGGGGTCGCTAACAGCCTCATACCGTCTGAGGGCTAAATACCGGCATGATACCAATAGTCGACAAGTACCATAAGGGAAAGTTGAAAAGAACTTTGTAGAGAAAGTTCAAGAGCCCGTGGACGGTGTGAGGCCTGTAGTGTCTCCCAGCATGCTGGGACCGGGTCTTCTCGGAGCTGGGTTGCTTGGGAATGTAGAAGAAGAAGAAGAGATTGGATCTATATCCCGCCCTTCACTACCCAAAGGTGTCTCAGAGCGGCTTACAAATTCCTTTCCCTTCCCCTCCCCACAACAGACACCCTGTGAGGTAGGTGGGGCTGAGAGAACTCTTGACAGAAACTGCCCTTTTTCAAGAACAGCTGTGCCAGAGTTATGGCTTGCCCAAGGTCATCCAGCCAGGTGCAAGTGGAGGAGTGGGGGATCAAACCCGGTTCTCCCAGATTAGAGTCCGCGCACTTAACCACTACACCAAACTGGCTCTCAAAGCCCAAAGCAGGTGGTGAACTCCATCTAAGGCTAAATACCGGCACTAAGAATTCTGTAGCCAGCTGAAATGTAGGCTGATCAAACCAGCAAGACTAAAACTTCACTGCATCATGAGGGATATCAACTCTTTTACCTGACCTGCAAAGCCTTGCCAGGAGAGGCACGTGATTGTGAATTGGACAGTCACCGCTGAACCATCCTGACCTAAATATTTGTCATCTGGATACAGAAATGCAAATGCTGCCATTGTATTTACAGTCCTCCTAAGTGAATTTACTCCCAACCTGGCTAGCCCAGGCTAGCCCAATCTCATCAGAGCTTGGAAGCTAAGCAGGGTCAGCCCTGGCTAGTATTTGGATGGGAGACCTCCACGGAAGTCCAGGACTGTGACACAGAGGCAGGCAATGGCAAATGACCTCTGAACGTCTCTTGCCTTGGAAGCCCTACAGGGTCAACATAAGTCAGCTGTGACTTGATGGCAACAACACCAAAATGTTTTTAATAGGCCTGTTATAAAGGTGGGAAAACATTATACAGCAAGCAGGTGAAGTAAAGACCTACCTGTAACATTGCCAATTTTCAGTTGCAATTGTTGGTTGCTCAGCTTGATTGTGTGGATTTCGTCCTTTAAATTTCTGATCCAGCTTCCTTCCGCCTTCTGGTAGCTTGTTTCCCCAAAAGTCTTCACCTGTTCAGTTTCATTGGGACAGTGATTCTTCCATTTTTCTGTTATGTCATCTAGCTGTTTGGCAATCTTATGGACTGTCAAGATTGAAGACAAGAATTCATGAAATAAATTAAATTGATATTCACCCACCACCTGTTTCTTCTAAGAGCTATTATCCAAATGTACTGATTTTCCAGTGTTATTTTAGATTTTCTATCGAGCTCTGTGGTAATGCAATCTAGAAGAAGAAGAAGAAGAAGAAGAAGAAGAAGAAGAAGAAGAAGAAGAAGAAGAAGAAGATGATGGTGATGATGATGACGGGGGAGGAGATTGGATTTCTACCCCGCCCTTCACTACCCAAAGGAGTCTCAGAGAAATCCACCCCAGAAATATTTCTACTGATTTTATTAGTAAGGTCAAGAAAAGGAGACATGTGTGATTTGAGTCGCCTGAAAGCACAGCAGAAACTAGAACCTTTGAAGCAAGACAGTGAGAAGGAGCCTCCCACCAGCCTATGGAGCTTTCCTCCAATTTAAGGTTGCGGTCATATGGAGCAGTAGCCACGCTACTGAGACGGATGATAAGCGGATTTTCTGGGCGCGATCACAGTGCCACATCTGGGAAGCGTAGAGCTCCCATGGCGAACCCGGGGCTTCCCTCCGAAGATGCGCAGTTAAAAACTAGTACCTCTGAGGTACTAGTTTCCGGTAACTGCGGGGCAAGGGCGGGCATCTGATAGCGTTTCCGGTGGCATCCGGTGCCCGCCCATGTCCCTTCGCGAAAAGGTGTGTCCCCCCCACCCCACCCCGGGGTTCCCTTCCCAGCAGCGCCGTTCTCTTCTAGCGCAATGACACCTTCCTGGGATGAGCAACGCCGGCATCACCTCCTGGGCAAGGCACGAGTACCGGGGGCAAGGGGGGCATGACGACGACGCGGGGACTCAAGGGAAAGGTCATGGAGCAGGCAGAGGGTTCGTGGGTGGGGGTGGGGTACGACATGCAAAAAGGTTTTTTTTCAAGTCTCCATGGGATGCGCACAAGCACCCAACGACGCATGCGCACACTTCAGTTTAAAACCAAAACACAGCCCCGTTTGCCACGCCGCACCGCTTCTTTGCCGTGTCGTGTGATTGGCACCTCCCCCATAACCACGGGACCTCGACGAGACCTCGAGGGGACGTCTGATCACGCAACCGCACGTTATTTTGCACCGGGGCAAACAGCCATGCTCCCCCCCCCGTATTTTCCTGCCCGTGTGACTGGGGCCTAAGTTGCTCTTCATCCAATGAAAGAGCGACTTAAGTTGGAAGACACCTGGATAGCCCAGGCTAGTCTGACCTTGTCAGGTCTCAGAAGCTAAGCAGGGTTGGCCCTGGTCAGCATGTGGAAGGGAGACCATCAAAGACCACCAGGGCTGTGATGCAGAAACAGGCAATGGCAAACCACCTTTGAGTGTTCCTTGCCTTGCAAACCCTGTGGGGGTCACCATAAGTCATCCGTGACTCGATGGCTAAAGGAAAAAGCTTCAAACTAGAGCCAAAGGGAAAGGTGGAGGGGTTAAATATTTAAATAAATAAAACTTTGCTCAGTAGAGTGGTCAAAGAGGTGCAGGATCCTGACCTCACTCCAGCATCCCCTAGTGGAGTGAATGATACAATGGCCAGTGATGTGATGACATCACTACCAGTTACACACCTGGAAATGATGTCATGAGGCTGGGAGTTACCATTGGGGTGAGTCTCTGCCCGCCAGTCTCTTGAGGACTGGCAAGCTTAACTCCTTTCCAACACATGTTAGCTGTTTTGAGAAAGGAGTTGCCATAGTATGACTGATATGACCAATCCCATGCCGCTGCTACCTGCTAGTCAAGTTTGAAGGATAGTGATTGTGTGATCAGGCACTGCTAGCCTCTAGAGCATGTTGATGTAGACATGGGAGGCAACCACTCTGTCAGCTCCCTCAGAATCATAGAGTTGGAAGGGACCTCCAGGGTCATCTAGTCCAACCCCCTGCATAATGCAGGAAATTCACAAATACCTTCCCCCACACGCACACCCCAAGTGACCCCTGCTCCATGCCCAGAAGATGACAAAAGACCTCCAGAATCCCCAGGCAAACTGCTTCCTCTGCATACCACAAGTCCTGTGGGAGTAGGCACACTGCAGCAGATCCCATACCATGATTTATCTGCTTCATTTATACCCCACCTTCCTCCACAACAAGGTTCTAAAGTGACTTACATGGTTCTCTCCTTCATTTTATCCTCACAACAACCCTGTGAGGTGCATTAGGCTGAAAGTGTGTGACTGGCCACCCAACAACCTTCTATGGCAGAGTGGAGATTTGAACCTGAGCCTCTCAGATCCTCGTCTGAGGTTCTAGCGATCACATGGCACTGGCTGTCATTATGCATAAGGTACGCATAAGGTATCACGTTCCTGGGATCCCAGTTCACCACAGACTGTGACAGCAGCCATGAAATTAAAAGACTCCTGCTCCTTGGGAGGAAAGCGATGGCGAACCTAAACAGCATGATAAAAAGTAGAGACATCACCCTGCCAACAGAAGTCCGCATGGTCAAAGCAATGGTATTCCCAGTAGTCATGTATGGCTGCATGAGTTGGACTATAAGGAAGGCCAAGCGCCAAAGAATAGATTCTTTTGAACTATGGTGCTGGAGAAGACTCTTGAGAGTCCCTTGGACTGCAAGAAGATCAAATCAGTCAATCCTAAAAGAAATCAACCCTGACTGTTCCCTGGAAGGCCAGATAATGAAACTGAAGCTCAAATACTTTGGCCACCCAATGAGAAGGGAGCACTCACTGGAGAAGACCCTGATGCTGGGAAAGATTGAAGGTCAAAGAAGACGGGGACGGCAAAGGATGAGATGGTTAGACAGTGTCATTGATGCAAGGAACATGAAGTTGAGCCAACTTCAGAGGACGGTGGAAGGCAGGAAGGCCTGGTGTGATCTGGTCCATGGAGGCGCAAAGAGTCGGACTCGACTGTGTGACTGAACAACAACTGAACAACAACAAATGCTCCTGAGCTCAGTGGTGAACCATCAAGAGCTAAGAAGTCAATGCTGCAGATGAACGTATCAACTGACCCTTAGTCTTCTGGTTCCATAAGTGTTTACAGTGTTCCAAACGCTTTTTGGAAAAACGGGTTTGCCCAGACTTGTTCCATTTGGTCTCCCAAAGTAACTCTTTTGTAGCATTCACGGAACATCAGGATATTTTTTTTTAAGTCACTAATATCATGTAGTAGAGGAAACATTTTAAAAACGTACCCAGGCTGTCATTGTCCTTGTGAAAACAGATGTGTCTCACATTTGGCTGAATGAGAAAGCTTCTGGGGAACAGTTTAGGAGGCAAGAGTTATTTATTTGTACCATGGGAATTTGTCCTCAGTGAATCCTTTATTTTCTGGGGGTTTTTTTTGCCATCCACAATATGTTTTAGATTTTATTACACTTGTGAAGCATCATGTTAACATGTACAGGGGTTTCGTTTGGACATGTGCAAGTATTTATACTGCAACCCTTCCTGAGACTTTAGGGTAGTTGTGGTTGAGAACCATCCCCACCCCACCCCCAAAGATATAAACATATTTGTTCATAAGTTGCTGTAGATTTTCCGGGCTGTGTGGCCGTGGTCTTGGCATTGTAGGACCTGATGTTTCGCCAGTAGCTGTGACTGGCATCCTCAGAGGTTTAACACAGAAAGATGGAGTACTCTCTGTGTCAAGATGAGAAGAAAAATGGTAGGCAGCAGTGTTCCATCTAAGCTGAGTTAGGGTGAGCTAGCTCACAGTTTTTTTAGCCTCCGGCTCACACATTTTTGTCTCAGCTCAGGAAGGATGGCTCCAGAGCAAACTAATGTATGCAGTAGCCAAATCACAACTTTAATGTCAGTAGCTCACAAAGTAGATTTTTTGCTCTCAAGACTCCACAGCTTAGAGGGAACATTGGTAGGCAGGTAATTTATACCTACTCCAGAAAGTGGGGTAGGGCTGAGTCATTATCTTGTAGGAGTTCCCCAGTCTATGAACATGCTAATTCGACAACATATATTTGTTCATAGTCTAAAATACAGCAATCAATTGAGAATTGGTTCCTGGAAGCCAGATTTATCTGCAATGCCTCCCTGGGAGAAAGTGGGTTTACCCTTCTGACACAAATGTCTCTCCCCCCCCCCCCAATATGTCATCCCTGGTAGTGGCATGTGCCAAACTCTCCCTTTCTTCCTAAGCATTTTAACTGAGCTAGATTTACAAACAAGATACTGAAAAAGTTCTGTGCAGTTTGATCCAGGACAGTTAGATAACATTTAAGACAGATTACCTGTATAAGCCAATATTCCGAAGCCTGCAGTGAGCATAATCAGGTACACCATAACCATAATCCACGTGCAGCTTTTGGAACACTTTTTCTGGCTTTTTGGTTCTAAGTTTTGTGGGAGAAATTAAACAAATAGGTAATGGAGATATGTCATTTCTGAATGATCAGTGTACAGGGTGTGATATATTGTTCTTTCGGACCCAACTGTGTGACTGAATAACAACAACAACAACAAAAGGCTACAATCTTGTGCACAGTTATTTTGGAGAAAATGCCACTGGATTAGGTCCTAATGATTTCTTCTGCAAAGCAAGAAAGGGAACAACCCTAAGCAGGTCTTCTCAGAAGTAAGTACCATGTTATTTAGTGAGACTTACTCACTGGGAAGTGGCCTTAGGACTGCGACCCTTCCTGAGACTTTGCTCAGTAGCAAGGCTACTTTTCCCAGAGCAAGAGAGTCATAAGATCCAATGCACTAAAATCAGTGACATACTTGTGAGTCAACATGAATGTTATCAATTTGTATGGGTTAACAGCACTCTTGGGTAGGCAAGGGTATGATATTCTGCTTCTTTAAAATATTTGAAAACTGTGCTTTATTTCCAGATAACGATCTACTGTTTCCTCCTTGTTTTCTGGATCTACAGAGAAGTCACAGACCCCTATACATGTTTACTTGGAACCTTGTTCTGTGGTAGTCAAATGAGTGCATTCAGCACATAGTGTACTAATGGCTTAAGATCCCTTGTTTTGGAGTTGTTTCACGCCCTCATTTTTCTGTGAGGTGAGTAAAAAGAATATGGGTGGCTTTTCAGTGGATTTGGGTGCATCAAACTAATTATGGGAATGCATCAAACTATTTCTGGGAATGCTCCAACATTCCACAGCATTGACTCATCATTTTCTGAAAGACTTTTCTGTTGTGGAAAAACAGTATAGAAGTATATTAAGTAAATGAATGGGGTAAACTCAATCTAGACACATGCTGAGCAATGCACAAGACTGAATTAATGCGACAATTTCATGTTAACATTAGCACGAAACCAAAGCATCCCTTGATTTGTCCATTGTGTTGGATCTACAAACAGAGCCACTTACCACCTAAGCCTTGTTTACTAGAGACATCAGGTTTATCTTGGAATGCAAGAAAAAGTAATTCCTGATTATATTGTAATGGCGCATCTGCCTGAAGGTATGAATATCTGAATTTTAAAAAGTGTGTCTTGCATCTGCTGTGAATGGGGTACACACATTTCCTTGGTCACTTTTCTGGCAACATATAGAAAAGTAATGTCTCAGAAAGGTCTGGGTCTCTGTTTTGCTAGATAAAAACAGATTGATACATATACATGCCACTCTCCATTCATCTAATACACATAGATTTGTATAGAACTTCTGAATGTACAATGAGCCTTCTATTAGTCACTGAAATAGCATGATATTCCACTGTATTTCTTTTGATAATTATTGAAATAAGACAGTGCCATGTGATGCAACAAAATCAAATTAAACCTTTCCAATGAAAAGTGTTCTAACGTTTCACTAGTGATCTCTCCCACATCGTCTATCATTATCAGTCAGTGAAAATACTTTACCACTTATTTCAAATGCTGTAATTTCAGATGACGCAAACTTCATCTTCTCTGTATGAGTTAATGTTCTGGAGTCACTGAAGAGCCCGTCTTCATTCAAACAAGCTTGGTTATCCATGCTCAAATTTTAACTGATAGGTAAAGGCGCTGAAGAAGGGGGGGTTCTTGATTTAATTACTGAATATGCATGAAGATAGGTGTTTCCTATTGGCTAGGCAGAGTTTTGTACTAGCCTCGTGGGGGGAGAAACTCTGAGATGGCATATTTAGCACTTCCTCCCCAAACGTCTAACTAGCCAATGTCTTGCTCTTAATGCATGAAGTGAAGCAACACAAACAAGACTCCTATTTTCTAAGTGGATTTCTGTTGGTTGTATGGATGCTTCTTATCTACCTATTCATTTTTATCCTCCAAGGAGTTCATAGTGGCAAACGTGGTTTTTCTGACCTCATTTTATTCTCACAACAACCCTGTGAAATAGGTTAGACAGAGAGACCAACTGGCCTAAGCTTCATGGCAGCATGGGCTTTGCAGGTTTGAGGTAGGGTCTCCCAGCTCTTAGTCCAATACTATAACCCCCACACCACATTGGTTCACTAGAACCGATACCATTTTCAAGCAACAGTGACATTACACTAATCTCAGTACTACAATTCAGGTAATTATGATGGAAAAAAAAGAGACATTAAGCAATGACATCCATTCTTAATTTTCCCCTCAAACCTGCTTAACAGTACACCACCATCCACTCACCATCTTGTCTATTTACTATTTACTTTATGCAATTACTTTATGCAAAAAAGAACAAACAAACAAACCCCACTCAAATATTGGGCTTTCTGAACTTGGGGAGGGGAATGCAGAAAAGATGCAACTTAACAGGATCCCACTGTGAGTTCTTGGAACAGTCATTAGAACCTGTACAGCCCATTTTAATAGCATTTGAGGGGAATGCCAATATGGGTCCATACATCTGCACTGAAACTTCCCTCCGTCTATCTAGTACATTCAATCCTACCCTTCTTCAAAGGAGCTCAGAGCAGCATATAAGATTCTTCCTCCCAGGGCTCTTTTTGTAGAAAAAGCCCAGCAGGAACTCATTAGCATAATAGGCCACACCCAACAGCAGAAACTCATTAGCATATTAGGCCACACCCCTGATGACACAGCTCATTAGCATATTAGGCCGCACCCTCATTTTACCAGAAGTGTAGTCATCCAGCCAGACCCACCTTTTGCTTCTTATTCTGTTTACCCTGTTTGTTGTCAAAATCCAGGGCTTTTTTTGTAGCAGGAACCCCTTTGCATGTTAGGCCAAACACCCCTAATGTAGCCAATCCTAATGAGTTCCTGCTGTTGGGTGTGGCCTATTATGCTAATGAGTTCCTGCTGGGCGTGGCCAACTCAGGAGCCAGCCGGAACTCTGTTCCTGTGCGTTCCTGCCCCAAAATAGCCCTGCTTCCTTCCTCATTTTATCTTTTCAACAGCCCTGTGAAATAAGTTAGGCAGAAAGAGAGTCAGTAGCCCAAGGTCTCCTGGCACAGTGAGGGCGTGGAAGTTGGGTCTCCAAGAATCCAATCCATGTACTAACCATTATACCATACTGACCCCCTGATCAGAGGAAGTTTTAAGTTGATCATTTCAATAATATGCTTGTGGGTCCCACCTTTCTAGAATGCCTCTCCCTGTAGTTCCTTCCTTTTGTGGGTCCAGAGTAAGACTCGATGAGGCCCTAAACTAGATCAAGTTTAAGAGCCCCCATAGCAGTAACCCCAAATGATAATTCAGGGGTTTTTTTACATTTAGAGGCTCCCCATAATCTGAAGTTTACTTAGCTTGTACAGAAATCCAGGTCTGTTCCTTCATCAGGTATACATGTTGGTGCTTCTGATCTACCTACCAACTCTGTTGGCATCCTGCCCATGTCCCTACTTCATTGTTTCCCCAGTTACCCATTTTGGAGTTAAGAACATAAGAGATGCCAATGTTGGATCAGGCCAAAGGCCCATCCAGTCCAACACTCTGTATCACACAGTGGCCAGAAACACCAGTGCCATCAGGAGGTCCACCAGTGGGGCCAGGACACTAGGAGCCCTCCCACTGTTGACCCCTCCCAAGCACCAAGATGACAGAGCATCACTTGCCCCAGAGTCCCTATCTATACCTTGTGGCTAATAGCCACTGATGGACCTCTGCTCCATATGCTTATCTAATTCCCTTTTGAAGCCGTCCATGCTTCAAGTTCTAGGCACCTGGGAAGAATTCGAATAAAATACTACCCCCTGCTGTTCCACTTGATTGTGTCTCTCTCCACAGGGGTTGTTTGAGTGCCTTATTGCTGTATTTACTTGACAGGAAGATGCTGCTGCATGTAAAATGGCCCCCCTCTCATAATGGTATATATAAAAATAATTTTATTATTGGACATAACTGTAACTTGTATGGACATTTAAGATGACGCCCTCTTTTTATGCCCTACCTGGGGGATAAAAATCCCTAGTCTTGTATTTGAGTAAATGCAGTATTTTTTCTTTTATTCCTTTATCTGACCTGGATCCTGCAAGATCTTTCATCGCTCCAAGGCCTGCTCTATGGTGTGGTGATGGGAAGTGCCATCAAGTTGCGGCTGACCTATGGTCATCCTATAGGGTTTTCAAGGCAAGAGATGGACAGAGGTGGTTTCCCATTGCCTGCCTCTGCCCAGCAACCCTAGACTTCCTTGGTGGTCGCCCATCCAAGTACTCACCAGGGCTGACCTTCTTTCATTTCCAAGATGTGATGAGATCAGGCTAGCCTCAGCCATCCAGGTCAGGGCACACTAGGAAGCAGAAGTAAGCAAAGGAGCCAACATGGCTATAATCAAGGTTCTTGCAACTGTGATGCGATTGTGCCGCCACTTCTCCTTCCTGCCACTTTCACGGAAGCGAAAAGCTTCCTCAGCATCTAGGATTGATGAAAAGCTTTTAGAAAAAAGATGTTTCTCTCTGACACCAGTCCATTATCTTCAAGTGACTGAAGCGTCAATGGAATCGACACAAGTTTGGATAGATAGCTGCACAGGAATATCGTCCCTCATTTGAAAACACATCCTTTATTCCTGAATGGAAGAGCTTCCTGAATGTACTGACCGAGTTCCACAGCACTTTATGGGAAACTCAACACCGACAGCATCATACATAGCTGATCTAGCATTTTAGTGTTAAAGCAGAAGTGGAGAGGAAAAGGTCTCCAAGAAAGGATGTCCTACTGAAGTTATGATTTTGTGCTATGGTGACTGTTTTCTGGGCTGTGCCATCCAGACGGATCCTGTTGGTCACAGCAGAGTGACTGATGCATTCTCTATGAATTTGCTGAATGTTAGGTGCACAGAACTGGTACATTTGGCACTGGGGGGAAAAAATCAAAACATTGTAACTTAGGTTCCCAATCCAGCAAAACATTCCTGTGTAACCTTTGTTTCTGAATGTTTGTTTTGACATTTCTACATATGTGCAAGGAATCTAAGCATGTCCAAAAGCTGGTTCAGATGTCACAGAGGCCCAATCTGCATCTAGCATTCGCTCCCCTGTTTTACCAAACCCACATTGGAACAGAAATTCCCCTCTATGTTGCATGCCACTTTCACTTTGATTGATCGTTGGATTTTATGGCAGTGTCCGGACTGCATGCCGCTTTCACTTTGTTTGATCTCTCGGTTCAGGTGTGACTCTGCAGTCAGTATGGCATTGGCCTGGGGTATTTGAATGTGGTTTTGAGCCGCATCCTTTTCTGTTCCAGTGTGGGTTTGGTAAAACAGCGGAGCAAATGCTAGATGCAGATTGGGCCAGAGATGTTTTAGAACAGGAAGTAGAAGTGTCATCTGCTTCCTGTACTTTCATATCTCTATGAGAGGTGCACAAAGTCTTAATGTGTACAAAAGTTATTTGTCTTCTCACGGAAGAAAATATGCTAATATTCAGGGGTCGTTTCGTAGAAAAAGAGCTATGGGAACTCATTAGCATAACTCATTAGCATATGTCACACCCCCTGACATCACCGGAAGTGTGTCATAAGGCCACACCCCCTGACATCACCGGAAGTGTGACATAAGGCCACACACCCCGCCCCCAACGGTCCC